TATATATTATATATATATATATATATATATATATATATATATATACTTATATATATATATATATATATATACTTACATTAAATGTTAAATAGAGGAACATGTAAGGCATGCAAATGGAAAAAAAACAGTTCTGTAGGAAAAATCATCTTATTTATGCTCTTTGGTCCCAAGTGTTGCAAGGGCTGAGCGAGTTTTGGTATTCTATGTATTAACAGTTGCTAATGGCAGGACTTGTTTAGCGACATTCTTGAGGCATTGTGTACGGGGCAGCTTGTTTGTCTTTACTTTGATATGGCTGCTGGGATTTTTCACCCGTGACTTTGTGGAGAAACAAGTTTCCTTTAAAGGGAGCACAAATGTATGATTGTGTTACCTAAATTACCTCTGGGCCCCTGAGCAAGGCCCTTAACCCCCACCATCTGCTCCCTAAACAGGTCTCTCTTGAAAATGAGTTATCGTGGCTCAATGAGACTACCTGGATAAATAAAGGGTAAATTAAAAAATGAAATCAGATGAAAGTCAATGGAGGAGTCTTCATGTAATTCAAAGCTTATGTAAACTAATTCAACCCGTAAAGGTTTTTTTTGTGTGTGTGTGTGTGTGTGCCCTCCAGCCAGCGGTGAACTGGGTGGTACCGGTGGCTGACAGAGAAAAATATAACGACCTTTTCAAGAAAACGGATGTCAGCAGTAATGGCTTCATCACAGGAACTGACATCATCGAGATCTTCATGCAGTCCAACCTCTCTCAGACAATGCTGGCTCAGATATGGTGAGTCGACCGTTCATTCACGTTTAAACGTTCTCACAACTGGTGGCAACTCTTTAATCATTGTGACCAAAAGTCCTCAGATTACTGCCGCTTGAAGCAACACATGAACTCATCGAATAAACTAGAAGAATTTTGAAGAAAGCCACTTTAGATGCTAATGCATCACAAATGGCAGCCATTATTTTAAAGCACAATTGCTGCAGTTTTTATCTTACTTTACAATAAAGGTATTTTTTAATAAAGGGTTTTTTACTGATTTATCAACACGCTAATCATGAGTTTGTAAACACTTAATAAAACAGTAATAAGCATTTATAAATTGGTTATAAGAAACTGTTTATACGTCGAAGCAAGCTCTATTTGGCAAGAGACGTCAATGTTTTTGTTTTCTGATGCACTAACTTTATGTTGTGGTTTATTTTGTGTTTACAGCTCCATTTACTACTACTTTATTAACTATTATTAACTATTTACTAGCCAATTATAAGCCCTTATTATAAAGGTGTACTGAATTTCCATACACCACTGCATATTTGTGACTTCATTGTATCATAGAAGTATGTTTTTATTAGTTTGAATGTTTAGTTTTGTATTTACAATGCATTTGCTTTTTTTATTTGTATTGTTTTGCTTTTTGTGAAATAGTTTTTCACTGTTTAATTTTTGACAAGAAGTCTACATTTTTAAGTCCTCCAGACGTCCACTAGTTCAGAGGCGCTCTTTAGTGTCAGAATTCCATAAAATCTTTTGTGAACTTTACATATTAAACAAGAAATGGGTCTGATTTTTCTGCTTTTATGAATACAAAGCATATGTGGAACTAAATGTCCTGTTATGATCGGATGTTTTGGATCACATTACATTCTTTGTTCAGATTCTGTTTCAGAGCAAAATGTCTTAGTTTGCAGTCAGGCTTGAAGCACCGAGAGACAATGGGTTATAAAGACTGAAAATATTATTGTCCTTTTTTTATTACCGGTAGTTCTGACTTGAATTTCTCATAATAAGTAGTCTGAACAGAAAAAAAATCTAATTGTTAAAAATCTTTATAGTTTGTTTTAGACCAGGGTAGGGGTGGTTGAGCCATCTCCTCACAGCGAGAAGGTCACAAGATCGCCTCCCGAACTGGGGCCTTTCTGTGTGGAGTTTGCATGTTCTCCCTGTGCACATGTGGGTTTTCTCCAGGTACTTTGGTTTCCTTCCACAGACTCAAAACATGCATGTTAGGTTGAATGGCAACTCTAAATTGTCCCTAGTTGTGGGTGAGTGTGAATGGTTGTCTTTATGTGTCCCTGTGATGGACTGGAGACCTGTCCAGCGTGTCCCCCCGCCTCTCCTAAGTGACTTATGGACATGAGCACAAACTCCTCCATGACCCAGAAAAAAGAAGTGGGCAAGAAATATGGATGGATGATAGACCAGAGCAAGGAATGCACATCTGAACTGGTTTTAAATGAGTTGCACCAGCTGTGGGGATCCATATTTTAACTTGGGGCGTTTTCTTCTCGAGACTTGCAAGTACAGTTTCCTGAAAAGTCATAGTGTTTTCCTTTCTAATAGGACACTTTTGTTTTTTCCATAGGGGTCTGGCTGACACAAAGCAGACGGGCAAGCTGACTCCAGAACAGTTTGCGCTAGCCATGCATCTAATCCAACAGAAGGTGAACAAAGGCGTAGACCCACCCTCCTCTCTCACTCCAGATATGATTCCCCCATCAGAAAGGACTTCAGGCACCGTGAGTCCTGGCTTCATCTTGCCTCTGCTCTTTTGTTTTCTGAAATTAAACTCCTTTTCTTGTTAGTGAAATGAGTTGCTGGCATCTGAACTTTAAGTCTTCATTTCTCTGCAATTATGTTTAAAAATGGAAACTTTGCCTTCCTGCTCTCTTGTCTTCTAGTGCAAAACTATTTTTTTTATTCTTGTGTTCTTTGAGCCTTTTTCTGTCCTGTCTACCAGAGTTATTTGGGGCTTCATTTTTCTGTGAGACCAGACTTTGCTTCAACATCTAATAATCGCAGAGTGAGTAGTGAAAATGAAATTCACCAGGTGGCGCTGTTGTTCCATCTCATTCTGTGTCCTGGTTTGATGCTGAGATCAGAAACTGCCAGTTACCACCTGTCACACCAGCTGATGTTACTCTAGCTCTGGTAAATTTGTTTAAAGCAGTTTTTTTGTAAAATGGGTAGTGTCACATATTTACCCTTGAGGGCAAAAGGCAAATATAGCTTGACCATTAAAACCAAGGATCTGTCTGAATCTTAAAAATAATTAAAACAAAGCCTTCAGCTTGATTTGTTTTTATTTTCTCAAAAGAAAGTCACTCATCTTTTTTGGAAGAGAAACAAAGTTTAAATATAATGAGTTGCACAGCTTTATTTTAAAATGGCTACTACTATAAAGTTGTCATTATTGAATAACTTGTTTATCAAGACTACTTAGGGAAATCCAACACATTTACACAAAAAAAAATCGATTTGGTACTGCTTATACAAACTCTTGCACTAAATCTCACCCTTTCAAGTTCAACCTGAAGCTCTTCAAAAATTATTTTTGTGGGTTGTTTGCTAATTTCAGATTAAAATAAATTTAGAATAGCCTTCTTGATTTGTTCAGACGTCTTCATTTTTGTACATATTGACTCTAATCTAGTGCAGAATTACTGTTTTTTATTGTATTACTTTACATTTTTTGTCACTCGTGCATCGTCTGCCTCTCCTGCTCGCTCCTGCTCGCTCCTGCTCGCTCCTGCTCGCTCCTTAGCTGCGTGATGTTTGAGTTTCCTTCTTTAGACTTTTGTTTTCTTAGAAACAAACAGCAGTGAGCTCATCTTTTCCTCTTCATTCCACTCATGTCCCTTCTTGATTTGTTCTCTCTCCACGTGTGTGTTAACAATCTTTCACGTCTTTAGCTGCATTCATTCTGTTCATCACTCTTATTGTTAATATTAATGTTGCTGCATTTTCAAGCCATCTTTGTTTTTTTTTCTCACGCATTCGTCTCAACATCTCTCGCCTCAGGACAGCATCAGCTCCATCGGGTCGGTCGAGCTGACAGGCGTCAAAGAGCTGGATGACCTCAGCCAGGAAATAGCTCAGCTGCAGCGGTAAGCACCTTCACACCGAGTTGCATGATAGTGGCAATGTTGAAAAATGAGCGGATGCTGAAGTGATGTTAACAATCAAATCCGTTTAACTTTCATACTACAATAGCTCTGTCAATGCCTTTTCATAAAAACAAATAATCTGATTTAATTAATCTTTTTTTAATTGTATTCTTCCGTAGGGAAAAATTCTTCCTGGAGCAAGAGATTAAGCAGCAAGAAGAAGCAATTAGACAAAAAAACACTGATCTTCAGGTAAATTGTTTATTTAAATCACATCAAGTCACAAAAGAAGTTGTCTTTGGGCACTGTACAAAAGCATTCACACACATTATAAAAGCAAATAAAATCAAGGTAAATGTGAGGTAACATATATTTTTAAGTCTTCTGTTAAGTCAGATATTATAAGAACGCAAGGACACGACGGAGCGGGTGTTAACAAAAGTAGATTCTGTCAAATGCCAGGAGTCACGAATCCCACCGAAACAGGGTCTGTGTGGGTTTATGTTAATAATCTTAACTTTAGGCTTTAAAAGCTGTTGAATATGTCCGGGTTTTTTTTTTTTTACTTCTGGTCTTAAATACATTTAACGACTTTCTAAATTTCTAAGTTTGTTCATTCATTGTTTCCTCTAACAACCTTTTTCCTTCGATGCTGTTGGTATTCATTTGTCTGTGTTATAGTTCTGTCTGAGGGTTTCAGGTGTTATTTCACGGTAACTACAGTAAAAGGCCCATCATGCTGCAGCCATTTGGAAAATGAATTTATTTGAATTTCAGCCTCCGCCGTGGAAGAATCTGGTTGCTCTGCCCTTAAAGCTAATTTGTTGCCATTGTTTAAACGCTGTGGATGGAATTTGAATTAGACTGAAAGGCAATGAAACTCGTTACTTGAATAATTAAATTAAATCATGTTACCTTTCAAAATGACGTAATTCCTATATGTTTTAAAATAGAATTGTAACGGTGTTTAAAGGGTTTTTAAAAAGTCGTAACTGACTGAAACTTGCTGGATCCTTGTAAGATGCACATTTACGTGAGCTTAAGAACTCCGTCAGGAAGGCGACTAATCTGCATTCTGTGTGCCGGGTCTGGACTCAGGATGTACAGAGTGACTTGGAAAGGGAGCAGAACAGTTTGCACAACATGGACTCCCAGAAGCAGGATGCCCAGGTACGTCTGGACGAGATGGACCTGCAGCGTTCCAAACTGGAAGGAATGTTGAACGAAGTGAAGCAGAAGTGCCAGGAAGAGAGCCAGCAGGTTAGAAATGGGACTTTTTAAATCGGCTCTTTATTAAAACCATAAATATTTCTAAATTTGGGACTTTGCTTCTGATGAAATAGAAAATCATATGCAGTTGTCATTCTACTTTAGAGGGACTTCCTTGTTCTCGTCAGGTAATATTTTGGTATAAGTATGATTGTAGTCCAGCCATAAGTACACCAGAATCATCTGTGCTTTAAATTTGTTTTAATTAGACTCTCAAAAAAAGAAGACAATCAAAAAAGATCAAGCTTGTCAATCAATGGTTTGTTTAATTCAAGAGCAGTTGATTAGTTCTTGATACTAAACCTTTAAAAAGTATAATTTCATTAAATGATTCAAACTAAATGTAACTGAGAAGAATGCACAAGATCAAGCTTTTACAGTCCATGCAAATAATTCTCTACTTTTTATTCTGCTCTCTAGATTTCATCTTTGCAGGGCCAGATCCGCACTAAAGAGACAAACCTCCGCAGTCAGGAAGACGAGCTGAGCTGCACCAAGGCGGATCTGAGCCGGCTGCAGGACGAGGAGTCCCAGCTGGAGCAAAGGTTGCTCTCCGGTCGCGCCCAGCTGGACGGCATTGTCAAATCGCTCCAAACCACCCAGGAAGAAATCAACCAGGTAAGAGCATTTAGACAGACGTTCAGGGCGTCATGCATGAATGACGCAAAAAGGTTGCATGGGCCAAGTTCCACACACACAAGATGTATGAAAACGCTGCTTGAAAGTGTCTAAATGTGTACAAAGTTTTTACCTGACGTGAGAATGTTCGAACCACCACGCAAACGTTTTCAACGAACTACAAAGACCAAACTAGAAAGTACTGAAACTCGCCTCAGTCTAAATAAATTTGACTCCATTTGATTTTCTGAACTTGAGGGCATTTGCACACGTTTTCTCATGAGTTTGAGCATTTACGGTTTAAAGCCAAACAATGAAACTGAACCATCTTTAACCTCATACGTAGCACGCCTCATAAAGGATCAAAGCAACCTAAATCTAATGTAAACTGTAAAATTCATATATTTTTGTCACTCGGTGATGTTCATTCAACCTTTATTAATACAGGTTAGTCTCATTGAGTCGAGTCGACTCATTTACAAGAGAGACCTACGGCCGCATGCACTTTGGTGACAGCACTCTTATGAGGTGCATAAAATGCATGTAAATTGTCGAAAACGGGGGTGCCCACACTTTTTCAGTATGTGAGCTACTTTTTAAAATGACCAAGTCAAAGTGAGAGAGAACAACCTCTGGAAACAATGTTTTTTCAATGTTTGTTGGAGGTAATAAACAAAAAGTGAGCAAGTTTACAGAAAACGCTGTAGTTTCGATGTCAGTTAGGTTGCCAGATAAGAAATTATGAACTATAGTACTGCCGCTTTAAAATTATAGTATTTTGACCTAAACTTCCACATGCGCTGAGTAAAGATATTCTAAGATGAGGTGTGTGTTGTTTGTTGAACGTGCACAGAAAAGGAGGGGGTAAATAAGACATTTAAAATTTATCTGGCAACCCTAATGCATGCAGCATCTGCATGATCATTTACCACAAGCTGGTGAATACACTAGCATCTCCTTGTAACTGGAGTTTTGCTCCTACATGCTGGAAAAAGATGAGTAGCACAAAAACACTCTGCTGTCTGCCATTTATTATAGCCAAAATTGTTAGTGCAGAAAAACTTTTGACTGCACCACCTGTAGTGCGCATGTGCGACTTCACAGTTGTGAGCATTTCACACCTGATGATCATGGTTTTGAAAGACGAAGGAGCGGGTTGAATCGCGCTATCCCCCACCTCCATGCTAGCAGGCTCCATTCAGATAAAGGGAGCTGGCTAACTAGCTTGCTGTACGGTGGCCTACATGTCCAAAATTCTACGGCAGCCGAGCGGACACGTAATGCGATATGCAGTAAAATCAGTTTATTTATTTTTTTTCTGCACCCCTACGCGTGATGATTCCTAAGGTCGACAAGGTGCGGACGATCGCACATGGCCTTACGTAGCTGCATAAAGTCGTGCGCAACTGTGGAATGGCAGCTTTGGGGCTGATGAAGGCCATTGCCAATAGACAAATTGGAAGGGAGCATGTCTTGAGGGATTGCATCGATTTACTGACTCAACTCCTTTTTTTTTTTTTTTACATCAACTTTGATGTCATACTACTTTTTACAATTTCAGGCAAGGACCAGGATGGCTGCATCATTAACAGCATTTGCAACTCTTTTTTTATTTTTCTTATTTTGTTTCTAACCCCAGAGGAATGACTACCAAATAGAATTTTACCACTTTGCTTTCCACTAGTACATCTATTACACATTCGATAAAAGTTTTTCTTTTTGCTTTTGCTGTTGTGTTATATGGACGCATGTTGGAAGACTGACATGTATTTATACTATTTTGTGTATTAATTTATGAGGTTTGGAGTAGTCCTAGTAGCACATACAGCTGCACTTTATTTCTCATAAATTGGGATGTATGAAGGAAACGTGCATGGAAACATTTTTGTTTGTTTTATAAATCTGAATATTTTTGTGTGTACTACACACTTTAACATTTTGGTCTTTATGCCAACTTTTAATATGAAAGCTGTGCACTCTTATACATGAGGCCTCGGATAATAACAGGATATGGGCCCGTTTTAGGCTAAAATCGGACTATAAAGTCAGAGAGGGTGCTTGTTTATTGTTTATCTGTGAAATTTGAAATTGTATTTTTTTAATAACGCAACACTTGGATGTATTGCTTGTAGTTCTCAGCCGTATTTAGGATGTGCAGTACACAATGTGCTAAAAGTTGTTGCATCACAGCGTTTAAGGTCCCTTTTTGTTTCAGCTTAACAGTTTGCTAAAGAGCTGATTCATTTATCTGTTGAGGAGCTTGTTTTTTATGGTAACAGAGGTGGAACAGTCAGATTTATTTTACAAAAAAAAAAAAAAAAAGATAAATGCAAATATTCACTTTATAAATAGCTTTTCTAATTGAGAATTCTTATTTTATTAAATAAGAATTATAGCATAGTGTGCCAACATTAGCTGCATGGGCACTTTTCAGAGGTAAAAGTCCATTAAAGAAATTGTAACTTATTGAATGTTTTTATGTTTCCAGGCTCGCAGCAAGCTGTCATTGATCCAGGACAATCAAAAGGAACTGAGCAAAACGATTGAACAGTACAATAACGCCTTGAGCGAAATCAGCAGAGGGAACTTGAGCAATCTGCCAGACTTGAGCGAAGGGTTCGCTGAGAGGGAAAATGGAGGTTTCAGAAGTGCGGTGAGGAACCTCGAAGTGCGCACCAACACATTTTCTCTTGACACAAACAATAGTTAGAAACCCAAAGACGGCTTCTGTTTTCTTCAGCTGGTGGCGCAAATAAAATTATTAGTCTCTTAAAAACCATGTTTAAGGTCATCCACAGATCTTTTCATCCTATTTAGCTCTAAATTGCACTTTTGGCCATTTTTTTAAACTGTCAAAATAGATTATACAAAAAAATAGAAAAATCTTGCAATATTTGTCTTAAAGGGGTGTTTGGTTTTGAGTTTTAGTACAAAAAGTCGTGTTAATATTGTGTGCTGCTGTCATGACTTTTCAAATGTATTTTCTACTTTGTCTTTATTAAATGTTTTTATTTTTGTGTTTGGTTTTTCTGTATATTTGATTTTTGACTTCAGCCATTTTTCGTTGAAGTAGATGTGCTCACGAGTTTTGTCCCAGAACTTGTACTCACTAAGGTCATTTCTGGATAATCTGTTGAACCTCAGTATATTCCTGCCTGCATACAAAATGCTTATAGTCTTTTCAGTTCTTCCTTTTGCTGCATCAAAGTAACTGAAAATGTATTTTTATCTTGATTTTACACATGCATTTTGGTTTTTGTTCATCAGGATAACTCTTTCAAGTCCAGGATAGCCATGTTCAACAACAGCAGTGCTAAGGAGTCTCCAGCAGACCCTTTCCAGACAGAAGACCCCTTCAAGTCAAACCTCTTGAAAGGTTTGAAGACATTCTTTAAATTAGTATTTATTTATTTGTCTCTGTGAGGACACAAATCGTTTGGTTTTTGTCAGCCTTAACTTTGGACCTGTTTGCATTTGGTTTTACAAAATTGTTTTTCTGAATATTTCCAAGGGTCGCTGTTTAATTATTGTAACTGAGCTCAGGTGAGCAGACTTTTTTTAACCACGGGATGTTTGCTCTGCTGTCTGTGAGGCGTCACCTCACTTTAATTGGAGGTCCCACAGTGAGGACTTCTGTCCTGCTAAACATGTGGATACAAAAGAGTCCAGGCCACCTCTGAAGGTGGTTGGAGTGAAAATGTCTTCAATGCCCACTGAGAGAATTATTTAATGTTATCCGGTAGTTGGAATCCTATTATGGTCTAGCTAAAGACGGGCTGTAGCAACAAACGTGAACAGGTCCTTTCTGGTGTCGTCTTACACTAAATGGAAAAGCATTATTTGTAAAAGATGATGGCCTTGTCTTTTTTCCCCCTTCAGACCCATTTGGAGAAGATCCTTTCAAAGAAAACGATCCCTTCAAAGGTACCTCATCTGACGATTTTTTTAAGATGACCGACAAGCCAAACCTGTTTGGATCTGCAGACACTTTTGGCAGGAAACCTCCGCCCCCAGCCAAGGTATGAAACCCATTTTTGCATGTATTTGTGATGCTAATGTCTGTTCTTTTACATGAAGACCTGTGTGTGTAAACAAAAACTCTGCGAAAGTAAAAACAATGAAAATCTGCTGACGGAATCACATTTTCGTTTTACTTTTTAGAGTAAAAGAGATTTTGTGTACACTTGAAGCTACTTTAGAATCACTTGTTTTATTATTATTATTATTTATTTTTTTCCTTTAGCCAAGTTCCTTCAGCAGTGCTGACCGCTTCAAACCAAGCAGCCCAAAACCAAAGGATTCAGGTAAAGTTTTGACCAACTATCATTTATTTTCACTACATATAGCAAAATTACATCTAACAGAAGCCTTTTTCTAATTCTCACAAATACCCCCAAAGTAACTCTGCCAAAACAAATAGCTAAACATTTCTAAGATTTATTTCCCAGCAAGCTTTTTTTTAAATCAAAGGTATATTTCCTGGACTCGTGGAGGAAAAGTGGGATGATGTTATAGTGACGTGCGCGGTGACGTCATGCCACATCACTTTGTCAAATAAAAGCTCAAATGCATTTTATTTCTTGAATTCCCAATAGCAAACTTTCCATCCATGTTTTATAAACGGACTTCTAAAGATGAGAGAAGGCTGTTTTGATAAAAACCCATCTCGGTCGTTCTCAGTGACGTGTAGATTTGGGTTTTTATTTTTGGGATTGGGGACATGAGGGGCAAACCATTTTTACTCTATCTGGCTTCAATTTTTCCTGTGGTTTTGGGTTATTTTTAGTCCAGCACCTTTGCATTTAACTACTGGCCAACTAAAAATACTCCCCCACCCCCCTCTTACCCTGGAAAAACAGGAGGCACGCCGAAGCCAAACATAACAGAAACTCTGACTGCTGGTCATTCACTTCTAGTGTACATTGCCACTTTGAGCAGCTCACTCCTGCCTCTGTCCTCTTTATATCTGCTGCCATTGAACTGCTGCGCCTCGTTCGCAGCGGAAGTCGCTTTAAGTTGCTGCTTGATGATCTGTTCAAACGGCGCACGCTTCAGCAGAACACAGAGGCGACTGTAGCCCCGAGCCGAGTTACCGCGCGTAAATCAAAACACCGCGCACTGCACATGAATGGGGTCTTTTGTGGCTGCACACATACAACAAACATATTCTCTTACAATGTTTTGTTTTTTCACTACAGCCATCTGCAGTTTTCTGTTTTTTATTTTATTTAGCGGCGCACCACACAACCCAGGCCCAGTTCTGGTGAACAGTGCTCCAACTGACGCCTTTAATTAGCTGATCAGATGCATACATCAGGTTAAACAAAAACCCTTGCTTTACAGGTTTTCGCAAAAATGTTATGGAAAATTAAACGGTCATGCCACGTTCCGTGCTCTGAAAATAGCGCGCAGGCCCCTTCAGAATAAGCAAAGCGCAGAGATAATTTTGACATGTGGTTTTGGGGGCTAAACTTCATTACAATTCTTGGCTCGCTTCGTGTGTGTATCCAAATGTTCCAGATGTATTTCGGTGTACTTTTGTCACAGATTTATTTGGAAAAACGGACCCCTTCGGGAGCAGTTCCTTTGGAGGCAGGGGAGGTGGATTTGCTGACTTTAGTAAGATGTCAAAGGTAAGCTGTGGATGCTCGGGCAGTGAATCAGTCGTACCATAAAGCAGAGCGGTTCACTGAAGCTGTCACGCTCTGTTGTAAATTTAACTTCCATTTTGGATGATTTCTATTTTTTTTTTCTCTTCAGTTTTGCAGCACTTGTAATTTCGTTCACTGTTTTTCTTTTTCTTTATGTGAGCAGAAGTCCGACAATCCTGTGGTCCCAGCAAAGAAAAATGTGCCTAACCGGCCGGCGCCCCCTTATGGTAATCTCTAACTAAACGCGCATTTGCATATGAGCGTGTATTTGTGTGTGTATATACTACATATTTTATGCCCTCATGTCATGCAGGGAAAAAAATCCCATCTTCCTCAATAAGCTATGAGATTGAAGGGATAGTCATTTCTTCTTCTGATTTTGTAAACAGGAAGGTGGTTGACAAAGATATAACGATACTAGAGGTTCACAGCATGCTCTGACCCTGTTGATATTATTAGGATATTTTATTTTAAATGTCTTCTGCTGGTAGCCTGTGCAAGTAAAGTTATATTTGCCTGCAGTGGGAAGAGACTTATCTTTCTGTTGCTTTTCTGTGCATCTAGCCTTGTGTTTATCTTGCTTTTTGTGTGCATGTGAAGTCACACAACACCTACAGACCTTTCCCAGGCCTTGCCCTTCCGTTGTGACCTTGCACTTATTCTTTAAGCAGAAGCCACAGCCTGAGAAAGCTGGTGTTCCCCTTTGCTTTACCACACACAACAGGGTAGAGATGAGTCGCCACGGTTTGCCAGCGAGCTTGTTCTAGTTATGTGCCTCGTATGTAAAGGGGAAGTGAGAAGCCCACTCCTAAATTCATAAACTGTTCTAAATATCTTCATCGCAGAGACTGTTGCGCAACTAATCCTGGTCCTCTTAGGGGCTGTAATTTAGCTGTTTGCCTTCAGTTGTGTTGCAGCAACATTTGTTTACAGCTACGACACTGGTTTGGTTTTGTAACAGATGTTAAATTAGACAAATGACGGGTAAACACCACACAGCTGAGCTCTCTAGGGTTTTTTTTTTGTTTGTTTGGTTTTTTTTTTTAAAGGTAACTGACCTGTTTGAGGGAAAGGAGGAGAAATTTATTGGAAATGCGTTCACAGCTTACAGTATACAAGGGTGTGTCTGTTTTTTACAATCATATGTTCCAAAAATGCAACACCGTGCATGTTTAAGCATCAACGCATCAGTGAGCAGAACTTTATTTAAAAAATGTGGTTAACACCATTTTTTTGAACCATTATCGCTTTCCCCTGAGTGACTACGGGACTCTGCATGCTGCGAGCTTGAAGCTGTTCGCTTCCTGTGAGTGGCACAGTATTACCCACTCGCCTTTTAAGTGTGAATGGATTTTCCCAAGGGGTGGGGGGTGAACTTTTTGGATCTGAAGGGAAGATACTACATTGAGCTTTTTTTGTCCTCTCCCATGGTGTTAATGTTTTTTGTTTAAATGTTGATCTTTTCTGGCATATGCTCAGTTTGTGTGTATCAGAGCCACTTCAGGGAGTTTGCTCTTCTGCAGTCGGTGCAGACTCTTTAGTTACAACACACTCGAGTAAAGCATCCAAAGACTGTCCTGTGGGTTTTGCAGAGTTTGGCTCTGTAAGTGTAGTCCGCCCTCGGTTTTCTGCTGGGTCAAATATCTTCGTCTGCATGAGCTGCT